AATAAGCAATTTGTCACACTGAACAGGAGCGTCATGGGGATGTAGCTAGATCAATGGGGAGCATCTTGGAGACCCTTTGTATTTCAATTGCCACCAGGTGGGTCTTTTTTTTTTTTTTTTTGCAGAATAAAAAACTTCCCTGCAAAATTGTTTAATGGAATCAGGTCTCAGCCTTTGTCTAGAAACCTCAGTTCCATTGCCAAACTGTTTTCCAGTTGAAAAGTTCCTGGACGTGTTTATGAAGTCACTATGAACTCAGTTCAAAGGAATCTTTTCTTTAGTTTTCGTAAAGGTTTCGAAAGCTTATTTTACCTGTCTGGGAGTATTGATTCTTCTTTGGTATCACCACTGAGAGGCTCTTTATCATCTTTGTAAACCTTTCGGTTGTGAAGAAATCCAGGACCACTAGTTGGAGATTTGGGAAACCCGGCAAAAACTTGTGGAAGTCAAAATACAAGGGATGGGCAGCTTTATGTGGTACATACGATAGAGAATCAGGGAGATATATTGTGGATAATGCTCTTGTGTGTATTATGAGAGAACAGTCATTTTTGTCCGTGGTACTCAAACTTCAGCTCAACAGCTTCATCTCAGGGGCGCTTGGTGCTTTCTGAACTTGGTTGTTTTCTTGAAGACATTTCATTACCCAATCTTGGTAACTTCATCAGCACTGATGATGTTACCTAGTTGGGTAATGAATCGTCTGCAAGAAAACAACTAGCTCAGAGAGCACCAAGGACCCTTCATTTCAAACCTGACCTATGAATATTCTCCTTTATTAGCTTCATCTCACCATCAGCCTTGAGACCGTATACTCAACAAGCCTTCTTCCTTGGTGTCAAAGTAGATTTACATAATAGACGCATAATCACCATGTTATCGTTAGTATGCTGAACTAGAACTTAGGAAACCGCGAGTTCTCTTTTGCAGACAAAACTTGGATGGGTGACTTTGGGGCAGTCTCTCTCTCTCCCTCTCCCCAGCTTAGCTCACAATCTTGTGAAGAAAATAGGAGGTTGGAGAATAATGTATATACCACATTGAGGTGTTCCAGAAAAACGTAGAAGAAAAATCAATTAATTTGTGCCCGGATATATGCTGAAATTAAACAAGCACATCAGTTGCTTAGTGTGAATTGTTATCCTGATCTGTATACATATATATGTTTCTGAGAAAGGTTCCTTCAAAGCAATAATATGCATGAATGTGAACAGTATTAAAATTTTTGAATTCTTTCTTTCTTTAGGGTGCATTTGTACTTAGCTGATGTCAATGAAAGAGAAAAGTAGCCAAGGACATTTCATGTATGTGTGGCCATTTTTCAGCTGTGTTTCATTTCATGGTTGTTACGTAATCACATTCCCCCCTCCACTTTTTTTTTTTTTAAAAAAGACAAACATCTTACTTACCAGAGTCTCTCTTCTCTTAAATAAATAAATAAATAAATAAATAAAAAGATTATTATTAATAATAATAATGATAAAGTTGGAAGGGACCTTGGAGGTCATCTAGTCCAAACCCCTGCTCAGGCAGGAAACCCTATACCATTTCGGACAAATGGCTGTCCAGTTTCTTCTTAAAAACTTCCAGTGTTGGCGCATTCACCGCTTCTGGAGGGAGGTTGTTCCACTGGTTAATTGTTCTAACTGTCAGGAAGTTTCTCCTTAGTTCTAGGTTGCTTCTCTCCTTGATCAGTTTCCATCCGTTGCTTCTTGTCCGGCCTTCAGGTGCTTTGGAGAATAGCTTGACTCCCTCTTCTTTGGGGCAGCCCCTGAGATAGTGGAACGCTGCTATCCTGTCCCCCCTCGTCCTTCTCTTCATTAAACTAGACATACCCAATTCCAGCAGCCGTTCCTTATACTGTATGTTTTAGCCTCCAGTCCCTATATTAACTATTTTTAATTGAGAAAAAAAGCACAACTATACAACATTTGATAGTCACTTTCTATCACCCCTTTTCATCCAAAGCACCTCCCTGTTGTTACTAGTGCTTGGTATGTAGACTATGTTTACTATCAAGTGGACATGTGATCAGTAAGGCCTCCGTGCTCGACGATTATGAAAAACGAAGCTTTGGGAATTGCTACTCTGTCAGATTGTTCGGTATTTGTCCTTGCACTCTCTCTAAAGAGAGGAAACAGTTATACCCAGCATCTCTTTTTTTCCCCACCCACTTCTGTTCTTTCCTCCTCGTTTTTTTTCCCCATCTTAGAAAAGCCGATGGTTAGAATGGTGGCGGGCTTCTGTGACGAAGGAAGCCAGCGGTATTGTGAAGTGGCATTGCCTTCTTTTTAACACTGCTGCTGTCACGTTATTTTCCATTTCTCCCAACGTGTGTCTAATTCATATTCATATCCGTGTTCATTAAGGGGAGAAACGGAAGAGGGAGGATTCTTCGGAAACAGCCGCTTCCAAAGAACACTAGAGTGCAAAGAATAAAACTTCAAATTTCTTTTACACGTAAATCAGTTGTGTTGACCGTGCTCTGGAAGCTCTTCAGTTCCTCTTTCTTCTTCATTTGTGTGTCAATTTATTCCATCAGGTTGGTCGGCTTTCCTTTGTATCCCACATTGGCAAGAGAGGGCTGCTATTATGAAGGATGTAACATATTTCTTCTCACATTTTTCCATTCTTCTCTTGAGCGTCGGTGCATTGATAGAAATTGGGCTCTTTCTTTCATGTATTTAATTTAGGAACCAGAATACTTTTCAGGGGGTTTCTTAAGTTGCCTGCCTTAAAAAAAGTCTCCAAATACAAGACAATAATTCCTCAGTGCTGAGTTCCTTCAACTTCTTGTCACATGGAAGAGAAAACCCATGTTGGTTTTGTTTTAAGAATTTATTTATTTATTTATTTATTTATTTTGATTTATATCCCGCCCTTCTCCCAACGGGACTCAGGGCGGCTCACAACATATTTAAAAACAAAAACATATTTACAATCCCCGCCAAATAAAACCAAATTAAAACCAAATATTTTAAAGTTGTGCTGTTTAAAATTTTCTTAAAAATAAACCCAGTTTAAAATCCTCCCTAGGAAGCTTGTCTCCAAATTCAACTCCGAAGTATTTAAGTACACAAAGATTTTGGATGGAATATTGAATGTTACTGATTATTAATGTAAGGAGAAATAACCCTGTGTTTCAAATCCAGAGGAGTTTTGCAAAAAAAAGTGAGAGGAATCCTCAAACAAGGAGAACATTTAGCTGACTATAAAGAGACTTGAAAATTATCGTTTCTGTTGAAGGAGGCATTGTAAAGTACTGACTGAAACTGTATCCTAGCTTTAGTACTAGCCGTATTGATTATTTTTATTATTTTCAATTGGTAAACAGCTGCTCATAGGTAGAAATGATACATTCATATACGTAGGAAAAAAATGCATATTTAAATTAGTGTCTATTAGCCCCTTGAGGTAGTCTAGCCAAGAAGCACAACCTGAAATAATAACTCTACCTTACATTAACAAATTCTCCTTCAGACTCAAGGGCTTATCCAACTGTCTAGGCTGCAGATCTTCCTTGTCTCCCATTCCCACATACCATTACAATATCATAACAACATTCCGCCAATGTCTGTTTACTCAGAGATTCACTCAAATACAATTTGAGCAAGGAAAGGTAAACTTTGCCTGCAACTGTAGATTGGGGTTGAGTGGAAGAGCTAGGAAAAGTATGATTTTGTCTTCTGAGTGTTTCATGTGTCTTAGGCTGAATAGCCAACTGTTCATTCCAATGCTCTGCACAACTTTGATGGCTGGGGGGAAAAGTAATTTGTGGACCTTAACTGCCTGTCGACCATAGAACTGAATCTAGCGTGGATGTATTTATGTATGTTTCTATCTGTACTATAAACAGATTGGTTTTTCCAGTCTTTCTCCATTTCAGGTGTATTTTTGTTAGAATAATGGATCGCGAGAGAGGTTAAAACAAAGTCAAGATGGAAGCTATAACAACATGACAACTGTCCCTTTTTTACACGTGTCATGCATGATTATGTTATTCTCCTGGAATGGGGCAGTAGGAAAAGCTGACTTAGCATAGGGGAGAACATGCATTGAGCATCAGTAGAAAATCACCATCATCTCTTTAACAGCATCACATAGGCTGCTAACCTATTTGCTAAACAACAAAGGTAACTAATCTCTTTTTCCCCTTCTTTCTGCCATTAGAAAAATTAACGAAGCATTTATTGAATTTGAAGTAGAAGAATGAAAAGGTATGACTTAGTTATTCCCTTAATAAAACGTTAACCTTTATTTGCATTTGCATTGTTCTTGACGTTTAACTTCTGTACGAAATTACTTCCTTCCACTTCAGGTGACAATTATGCAATTTGTAACTAAAATTGTTATGAAGGTCAAGTAGATCTTCAGTTTTTTTTGTTTTTTACTTTATTTTTTAAGTACAGTCTCATGCTATTCTTAATGCAGCTCTAGAATAACAAGAGACACAGTTTTATTGGATTAGGAGTTGTATAGCTTCTCAGAACTATATTTGCAATTTATGTGTCATGTCATTCCAAAGATGCCTTATGTTAATAATGTATGTTTATTGGGATTTATTTTGAGTAGAATTATTTGGCTTTTGTGAGCTCACTCCTTTTTTTTCTGTAAAAAGAAAAGAGATAATTTTTTTTATGACTCTTGCATTTGCTGAATCCTAAAACACAGGCTCCCATCAGAATTACATCTCCAATTTCACACAATCTTTTCGCCCACAAATGTTGTTCCGAGTCATTTTTGATGGCATATAACGCTAACTATTTTCTTTGCTTCAAAACTCCAGCATCCTACTTTATCTACAGATTACTCAAGATTAAGAAATTGAGCAAACGATGATTTCTTTTCAGCAAGCCAGCAGTTGTACATGAGCGAACACGAATCAAGCCATCTTAAGCTTGCTAAAATATGGGAAAAAAATTTTCTATCAAATATCGGTAGAAATTAGAGAAACAGGTTGGTTGTATTACTCACTCAAGCTTCCTTAACCACAAGAACACAGTTTTGCCAAGAGTGCCAAAGAACAATACGAAAAGTTATCAAACATGCATAACAACATGATAAAGCTGTATGATAATTTGGGAGACTATTATACTTTTGATTCCAAATCTGTCACTGTTGAGGAATTCTTTGGAGACCTTAGTACATTCCGCACATTATTTTTGGTAAGTAGAGATTCATCCTGCCTATGGCGACAAATATATTTGCACATGCTTCTTTCTAGAATATTGTCCAGTGTCTTAACAAATTCTGTTGATTAGCATCTCTTTCAAATCCTTGCAGGAGATGGATCACTAATATACAAGCTGCATATTCAGCTTACCATTCAATGTTCTACTTTATTCCATCTTCTTCTGCCGTTAGATCTGGAATTTATATGTAATGATTTGTTATATTTCAGTGTATTCATTATTTAAAAGGGGATGTGAACTCTTTATGGGGAAAATAATTTTTAATTGTGTAAAATCTATACAAAAATCCTGTGATAGGTAAGCGGTGGTGGATTAATCAGTTACATCTTCTCAGACCTATTTAAAGTATGAGCACGTTTAATTGGGACTTAATTGATTTCAGTAGGATTTGGGTATTGATTGCTTCTCCACATTTTTCTCGCTCGCAAATGAAATGTGCAAATCCCTGATCTGAGCAGCAAAAGCAGACCCAGCCACAAAAAAGAATTATTTGTAACCCCAGTATATACTGTTCTGTTAAGAGATATTTAATTTTCAAGAGTGATTTTTGCAGGAACAGTTAAGCTGGAGCAAATAACTACTTGCAGAATTGAAAGCATGTTCCCTTTTTTTAAAGAGGGATTACTCCAGTTAACAATTTCCATTAATTATTATCCCCTCCAGCTCTTGCTAATCATGACATACCCAAGGCTATTCATAACTGTTCTTACTCTTAGAAATAGCTTTTCATAGAAAAGGTACTTCTAAGCTATGTAGTGTCAGGAATCTTATTATTTTTCTTACTTAATATGGTTCATCAAATATCCAACAATAAGTTGACTTTTGTAACTATCAAAGAAACTCAAGGATCACATAATAGCTTTATTTACTAACTTTTGGCCCTGTTTTCTACTCTAACAGAATGTAAGAGAGAATAGTTGAGGCATCTTTCCAGGCTATTTATTGACTGAAATGATAGTTTCCAGGAGATACTGAAATAGGGACCATTGTCTCTCTTTGCCCAGTATAGTCAAGTATTTCCTGTTTTTCAAAGAGGAGAAGAAGAACTATGCTAAAATCCTAGCGTATTGGCAGATAGAACTAGAATTTTGAGTGATTTATAAAAGGCTGGAATAATGTAGTCTTTCTTGAAACTATAGTTAGATTTATAATAATAATAATAATAAAAAGTTGGAAGGGACCCCCAAACTAATATAATAGTCCCCTTGTAGGTGAAATTAATCCATTATTAGAAGTCTATGACACAATGAAGCAGAAGAACTCATCCTGCAGATTCTACGTTCTTCCTTTTCTTCAGAATTCTAAGATTTTAAGATCTAAATCTGTACCTATTAGATTGGCCCCTACCCCCATCTCACAGTTTTGCTTCCTTCCTCTTTAAATTGGCTTCTTGCAGATGTTGTTCCCACTGGCTGCCTCTGGGTTGTTGTAATTAACTGCATCATAAGGAAGGGATGGAAATAGACATATGCTCCAGAATACGAAGCTTACCTTCAGGGACTATTCAAACTGCCTAAAATTATCAAGGCTGCCCAGCTACTTGCCATCGCTTTTAGCAGACAGAAGCCTACTGCCAGCAGCAAGCTTTAATCTGTTGAGTAACTATCAACAGTTGGTGTGTGCCGCAAAACAATTCTCAACTTTACTACATTCATTTTGTAATGTTATTGTTGACTCCTAAATACCAACAGTATTTTTGAGAGGGAGAGAAAACAAGGAAGAAAGCCAGCCCTCTTTGTATTTGTATTTTTACAGGTCTGTAATAATAATATGAATGTATTGTTGATGAATAAAATTAGTTTAGATTAGATTAGATTAGATTAGATAACCTTTATTGTCATTTTTTTCCTGTGGGCACAACGGCACACATTAAAAATGAAATTCTCAAAGTGTACAGATACATAACACACATTTAAAACATGCTATATACAACATATGTATAGACCTACACCCTTACATAAAAGTAGCATATAAATATTAATCACTGTCCATCTTGAATACATAACAGAAGGAGGAAGCTTTAGAGTTCACAAGGCTAATACTTGGTTAAGGTTAAGGTTAACAAGGTTAAGGCTTACAGTACAGTATGTATTTGTATGCCTGCTTATGAACAGCTACAGAACTGAACTGGCATCAAAGTAGTGACGATAAAGATTTCCGTAAGCTAATGATACAAATAGATGGTACATGTCTACAAACCAGATTAATTCTCTTTAGAAGCTTGTTACCATTCTGTTAGTGTATTTAAAGCCTAAGGATGACCTGGATGATTATAATAATCTCGTTTATCTGTCTGTTATTGCCCACTTGTAAATTTCAACTCGGTTTACTAATATGTTAGCCTGGTGTCTTGTTTCTCTACCTTGTGCACGTACCTATTTTCTACAAAGAAGGATAGTTATATTTCTGGATGAAGGACACCTGTGTTTGCACTAAAATCATTTTACGTGAGGTTAGATTTTACAGAGGACAATAGCTACTCAACTTTCAGCATGATTACTTCAAGAGGTGAAACCTACGCATAATCTATTTCTCTGATTGGTATTCCCAAAGTATGTATTTATGTATGAATAAGTGAAGAATGAATGAATGAATGAATGAATGAATGAATGAATGAATGAATGAATGAGATCAGTACCAGAGAGTGATAAAATGTTGGGTAACAGTGAATTTAAATTTACTGTTTTAAATATTAGCTTTAATGCAAACTCTGGAGAAGAATTAAAAGTTGTCTAATTAGATATAAAAAAGGATTTTAGAGATGCCGCAACATTCCAGATTGATTGAAGGTCTTGTCACCAGTGGCACTTTGGGCATTAGCAAAAGCATAGAAAACTCTAAAGTTTTTTTTTTCCAAAATTAGAAGAAGGTTAACCACTGGTCTTCTGAGGACAGCATGAAAACAAGAACGTATGCTGCATATCCATTTAGGTCTTCCATTTCCTTTCATACGTGAACTTCCAAAGACATGTTTTCTTTCAGTAAGTTATTTTCAGGCCATTAGTAAACATCAAGAAGAAAGGAAAGTATAAAGATAGCTGGGTGGATCTTACAGGTTCAGACCTTTTCAGTTCCTTTCTCCTTTGTTGCTGCTATAGATTAACATGAAAACGTTTTCTGCCTTTGGGATTTGCTATTTAGGGGGAAAAAAACCAAAGTTATGTGATGCCCTTGAATTGCTTGTTTACTTGTCTTTCTTCCACTACTTTGGAATTTTATCCGAGAATTACTTTGTTGTATTTCAAGTAAACTTTGAATGGTAATTTGATCTCCTTTATATGTTTTTTTTTCACCTCATACTAGTTTCACACTTCATGGACTGTATGTTTTTTTTTATGTGAAGAGGAAACATTTTCTATAGTTAGAGGCTGGCAACACAGCACATTATTGAAAATAATGCCAGAAAACCCTTTTTAAAAGAAAGAACGTTGCATGAAAGAATATCCTTGCATTAAAACCATCAGGTTTCAACGGGGCTGACCAAACTGAGGTAGCAGAAGAATTCAGGCTGAGACCAGGGCAGCCTCATGAAATTCAGCTATTTTTCAAGATAGCATCTTGTTCTAAAATATTGAGGCTTGGAAAACATTCATTCTTATGAGATTGCACAGTGGCATCTCAGACATGTTTTTATAGGTCATCAAAATACATCAAAGTATCTCCATACAGGTAGTCCTCAACTCACAACAGTTCATTTAGTGACTGTTCAAAGTTTCAACGGCACTAACAATGCCTCTGAAGAAGCTTCTTGGATGAGAAGCGAAATGCCTTCAAAGAAAAAACAAGAAAGTCCAGTTGCCTTGTGAAAAAGCAGTTTTGGGATAACTATGACCTGGATAACTGAGAATCTCCATAGGCGTCTTTAAGAGAACAGCCAAACTCAGACGGCATCAAGGACCCCTCATTTCAACCTCAAGCTACAAATATTTCCCTTTATCGATCTCTCTAAAAGAAGAACACATCACTGTGCCGAATGTTAACGGGAAGGGAGAAAATTCATCCTGTATTTCATAACAGGATGATTAAAAAATACACCTTTCACCCTAAATATATGGAAAACGTTTTAGAAGCAGCAGCTAGTTGAATAATTGATCATGAGGTTTTTGTGGGAGTGATTCAGAATCAGAGCTGCTTTTCAGATCGACAATAAATACTAATTGTGAATTTGTCGACACACAAGGGATTCCTTTTAGGAGAGCTTGCGGCATTAGATTTTGCAGGGCCTCTACAAAATAATTCAATCAAAATCAGTTCCCAGAGATGAAATGGAGGCTTTCTTTACAGCCTGTCCAGATCAGAATTCAGATATGAATATTAACAATGAATCGGATTTCACGATGTCTAGTAGGGGTGTCACTTCTTTAAATATATGAAGGGACCTTGGTCTGTTTCAGGGCTGGACAACTTTCAAACCAAATCTCATCCTTCAATATGTTAACATCAGTCAGTCAAAACAGCGACATTTTAAAGGTGTGATTATTTCATTTTTCTTCCTTTTTTAAAAAAATAATTTCAGCCCTTCTTGATGTTTGCAATTTGTAGTTTGTTTCAAGTGGGGCTGTTTGAAGCTGGGTGGTTATTTCTTTCGGCCTTTCATGTAACTGAATCCATGAACGTGAATCGTATATGACCAATTAATTTGATCTTAAAAGTATTCTCAGCGAACAAGCTTTGTTGACATATCGTAGCGATTTATTTCCTAGGAAGTGGAATGCTCTGAAGGTGACCATTCAAGGTTAAGGAGATGAGTACAGCAGAAAGCAGAATTGCTGGCAACGATGAAGCACGTTTCACCAAAAATTCCCCACTGGAAAATATCAGAATACTTATATGAATGGAAAACACCACAGAGACCATAGTCAGTGTAATTTTGAACTCCCCGATCCCTTATTAGTGAGGCTTTTCTTAACTCTCAAGGTTGTTTTACAAAAAATGTTCTCAGGGTAGTTCTCAAAAGTAGATCCAGGAAGAAATTAGAAGTTGATGAAATCAAAGTGATGGGCAGGCTGAAAATAAAGCATGAGTCTTAGTAAAGCAAAAAAAAAAGAAAAAGAAAAGAAAAGAAAAGAAATGTGTTTGTTTGTGTGTTGTGTGTGTATGTTTCCCTGAGTTCAGTGAACAACTCATCTCTGCAGATAGCATTCACAAACACAAGCAATAGCGTTCTTGAGGATAAAATGGAATATAATAGAGTTGGAAGTTGATGAAATCAAAGTGATGGGCAGGCTGAAAATAAAGCATGAGTCTTAGTAAAGCAAAAAAAAAAGAAAAAGAAAAGAAAAGAAAAGAAATGTGTTTGTTTGTGTGTTGTGTGTGTATGTTTCCCTGAGTTCAGTGAACAACTCATCTCTGCAGATAGCATTCACAAACACAAGCAATAGCGTTCTTGAGGATAAAATGGAATATAATAGAGTTGGAAGGGACCTTGGAGGTCTAGCGCTCTACTCGAGCAGGAGACCCTACACCAGGGGTAGTCAACCTTGGCTCTTTTATGACTCGTGGACTTCAACTCCCAGAATTCCTGGGAATCCACGAGTCATAAAAGAGCCAAGGTTGACTACCCCTGCCCTACACCATTTCAGACTGTCCAGTCTCTTCTTAAAAACCTCCAGTAATGAAGCGCCCACGATTTCTGAAGGCAACTTCTGTTCTACTGGTTAATTGTTCTCACTGTCAGGAAGTTTCTCCTTAATTCCAGGTTGCTTCTCTCTTTGATCAGTTTCCATCCATTGTTTCTTGTCCTGCCTTCAGGTGCCTTGGAGAATAGTTTGATGCCCTCTTCTTTGTGGCAGCCCCTCAAATACTGGAATATTGCTTTTTTTCTTTTCTTTTTTCTTTACTAACAGTCCTCAATTAGTCCTCAAGACAGAAGATGCTAGACTAGTTCAAGGCTGCGGGCTGGGAAGGGAGGCTACATCTGTATTTCGCAGTATTTTCCCGTGCTGCTTTTTCCATACTGCTGCCTCCATTCTTTTTTAACTGCCAGTTAGAGAGTTTAATCACAATAATTTGGCGTGCCAACAATTGTAATCTTTTATGACATCCCTCAGAAGTTGCATGTCAGGCTTGATGCTTCTCTGCACTGCTCAGTGCAAACTGGGTCTGTGGTTATTGTTGTTATTGCTTCACACCACCCACTGGGAAACTCAGAGCTTGCCTATTGCTCTGGTACCCATTTCTGAAAAGGTCTTGCTTGTTTATTTTTGTTTGGTGGAAACAATTGACTCCTTGGGGATGAGTTTTCAGCTTCATAAGAATTAATGAATGGCTGGATGGATCCTTCGGTGTAAACAGGGATGGCAGTATTTTTTGGGGCAGTATTAGACAAATATCTGGTTAGCCGTTTTAAATGTCGGTCTTCTCTAATATATTAAACTTTCTAGGAGTTAAGGATTTATTGAGGCAATGACCGGCAACCTATAAGACAGTTCCTTAACTTGTACTGGTAGTCCTCGACTTACGACCACAATTGAGCCCAAAATTTCTGTTGTTAAGCGAGGGATTTGTTAAGTGAGTTTTGTCCCATTTTATGACCTTTCTTGTCACAGTTGTTAAGGGAAGCACTGCAGTTATTCAGTTTGTAAACAGATAGATAGATAGATAGATAGATAGATAGATAGACAGACAGACAGACAGACAGACAGACAGGAATTGAGATAGATAGATAGATACAGTGGAGTAGATAGATAGATAGAGAGGGGGGGAAGAGGATAGACAGACAGACAGACAGACAACTATCATGGACACACACATACACACAAAGACACATAGAACTCTAGAAAGCTCTGACTGGCACAACTAGTAATTCTCTATTCTTATCCTAAAGCATAGGACCAAAAGCTAATCTTCTCGTTAACATGCTTCAGTTAAAGGTTAATTAGCATTTTCCAGCATGAATCTTCTACCCAAACCAGGAAGATATAGTTCTGTTTCTGCTGCTATAGAAAAATTTTTAAAAAATGTTGCAGAGACTTATGCTGTCAACAAAAACAAAATATTTTCTCAATATTTATCAAAGCAGAATTAATACCATATTAACCTGCTAACTTAAGAGTTTCATTTACATTTTTCCCAGAAAAGACTTTTGTATACAACGTGTAGAATTTATTATGTATTCATTCACTCTAACGGATTTTCTTTTTTTTTCCTGGGGAAAATCAGTACTTATTATGGATTGATACAATTAATAGCGCACATTTAATTTCCACAGAAAAGGAGGTGCTGCTTTAGGAGGGGCACTTGCTGTCACCCAGTTACGCTAAAGAACAAAATGGGCTAATAAAACAACCCTTTTCTCGGTTGCCCCTTATCTTTAAAGAAGAACATATCACATGAAATGAATGGGCAGATAAGGATGTAATCTGGCTTTTTAAAATGGAAACGCTTAGCATTTTTATTGATTTTCTGCGCACTTTTTGCATCTGAATATTAGGCTTCAGCCCTCATTCATCGGCTCTCCTGCTTTTTCATCGGGAGATTCGGCATGCTGACTTCATGTGCCATCAAAATTAATTTAGGGCAGTGATACAAATCCTGAACTTTGGGAAGAGATTGATCAACTCCTTCGCTGCTATTATTGCAACTATTACGTTCCCCACCAGACTGATTCTGAAGCAAGTGGTGCCCATAATTTAAGACCTGTTAGCTGGCTCTTTATTTTATCTCAATAGTTTCATTTCTTTGCCGTGCTTTATTCAGTACAGTTCATTAATCATAACCTGCACAGTGCTGTTTGGGTAACTAAGACTTGTCTTTTCCATGAAGTGCATCAAGGTGAATATGTAGAAATCATTTCACAGCATCACCCCCCCTCACCCCCCACCCAGCTTTTGAGTGAGACGATGACAACAACTCCAAAAGACCTCTTTGACAAGTGGGCAGTGGGCACAACATTTGTCTAACTTGCCCAAGGCAGTTTTGGAAACAGTAATTCACAAAGCATTGGAAGGGTGTTGAAAAGGATAAACATAACAAAAGCAAAACTTTGTTAAGTATGGTAATTGTCGGGACAAACAAGAAGTTTATAAAGTTCAGAAAGTTGCTCCCAGATTAAATGCATGCCTCGTTCTTTCTTCACTATCCCTTATATTCATTTTGGCAGGCAAAAAGTCTTTAGGTTACTGGATTTCTAGTTCTGATAATCTCATAGTCAAATTTTGTTTATCACCTGTTTTGAGCTCCTCTGTTTTTATTTCATATCTATCTTGGTCCTTCCCAGCTAATATCCTTCTCTCTATGTTAAAAGTAGTAGAAATAGAATAATATTAGGCTGATAGTTACAATAAGCAAGCTGATTTTTCTCTGGGATTGGTCCCTTTTATTACTTTTGCATCATCGTTGTCTCAGCAAATCATAAAGTTATGCATAGATAAAGCTAACCTTACATGCATAAGGACAGAAGTCTGTTTGATATATTTTGTTTGGTGCTTCTGTTTACCTCCCTGTTGGGCCAGGCATAACTTCAAAACATGTTTCTCCAGGTGCCTCCCATTCCACCACTTTATGGTGAAGTATATCCCTGTATAATAATAATAATAATAATAATAACAATAATAATAATAACAACAACAACAACAAAACAACAACAACAATAACAATAACAATAACAATAACAATAATAATAATAATAATAATAATAATAATAATAATAATAAAGTTGGAAGGGACCTTGAAGGTCATCTAGTCCAACACCCTGCTCAGGCAGGAACCCTACACCATTTCGGACAGATGGTTGTCCAGTCTCTTCTTAAAAACTTCCAGTGTTGGAGCATTCACCGCTTCTGGAGGCAGGTTGTTCCACTGGTTAATTGTTCTAAACTGTCAGGAAGTTCACCTGCTGAGATTTCACCTATTAAAAGTCTATTATTCATTTAATTTTCTTCTATCTGGATTTAACTGTTTTATTCTCTGGAGTTCTTGGCCTGGACTGGTTTGTAGTTTATCAGACTAAAACAGTGAAACAACTAGTCATTGTTTCATAAAAAAGAAGTTATCCTCCTGGTGCTTTGAAAAGTGACATTATACCATGTATTTTTCTCCCCTCCAGACAACTAAAAATACAAGCCAAGTCTGTAACAAACAAGGTTCCTCTCAATTCTCTCTGCATAAACAATTCCTGTGTTTGCTATGATTAATACAGGAAGCGTTGAAGGAGAACCATAAAAGGAGAGAAATGGAGGAAAAGACCAAGAGAGCCAAACTTGCCAAAGAGAAAGCAGAACGCGAAAAATTGGAGCGGCAGAAGAAGAAAAAGCAGCTGATTGACATGAATAAAGGTAAGGGGATATGGATGGAGCAAGATTTGATAGCTCAGTAAATGCCCCCACTCATGTGGCCTTCAAGGAAGGGTATCAAAACCTGGTCCTGCTGGTTGGCCTGGGGCCTGAGGGACCTCTGATCTCTGGAGGTGGTTGACATGGTAAGAAGAAGATTTCATCCCTGTACTCCTTTGTTTCATGTTATTTATTAATTTTATTTAATAAGAACATTTATGTGGCCGCCCAACTCACTCTCAGTGACTCTGGGATCAAACCCCAATATAAAAAATAATAACCCCCCCCCACCTCACCTCTCTTGGTGACAACTATCAAATGAGCCATTTGATGGGCTCCATCCCATTCTGAGGTCCCCAGGCCCATTGGCAAAACCAGGTCTTCAGGTCCTTGCAAAAAAAAAAAAAAGTATCAAAGTGGGGGCCCGTCTTATCTCTGTGGAGATGATGTTCCACAGGGACACACAAACACAGATATATATATATAAATAGCTTTTAAAATTTTAACTTTTCTTATATTGATCCTTTTACTCTCACCGATAAGGCTACTCTACACCTAGAGTAGCCTTACAGGTGAGAGGGACAGCGCATCCATTTAATAAATGCACTTAACAAATTAAAAAAAAACAAAACACTTGACTGTTAATGACGGAGAACCAACTCTGTCTAAACCCTTTCTCGGTTCTTTTGGAGTGCCGCGTTCGCTCTCTCCGCGTTGTTTGTCTGATGTCTTTTCTAAAGTCTTTTGCATCGACTTACACGAGCTTCCCGCTCGTGTACGTGGCTTTGGCTTTAAAATAATAAACGGCCCAATAATATTTCATTTTAATTAACATTTTAACTTTAGTATTTTTTGTATTTATGTATTTGTTTTTAAAGGCTGTAAGCCGCCCTGAGTCCGCAGGGAGAAGGGCGGGGTAGAAATGTAAATAAATAAATAAATAAATAAAAATGCAGTAGTGTCGGTTTTTAGGTTTTTTTTAAAATGATCCCTATTTTGCAAGCCTCTTTCCAAGAGCGTGGGGGGCAGCGAACGGTTTTCTTCTGCAGCTTGGAGACGGTCCTTACTCTATCTCTTGACAGTTCTTCTTTTTTTTTATTTTCTTTTTTTTATTTTTATGAGCTGCAACAGCTGGCTTTTAGCTGCCAGCCTCAGTGCAGATTGACAATTGGATATGATAAAGGAAGCCACGCTGAGTTTGCTGGGTAACTGAACTGACGCTATATTGTGCGCGAGGGCCTTCGCGGAGAGAGGGTACGAGAAGGAAGGCAGGGGACGAATCAATAGGCTCTTACTATCTCTGCTTTGGAGAGTTGCAAAGCACTGCTGAAATGCGCGCTTTCTCCTCCATCCCATTGGATTTCCGAAACGGAGAAGAGAGATGACACCAATATGAATTAGGTTGAACGAGAGATTACTTCACTCTGCGGTTTGCTGTTCTTCCCTCTGTGATCATTCCAGTTCCGTGTTGAAGCACAGCTTAATCCATCCCAATCATGAAACACATAAAAATGCACAGTGTGTGACCGCAGCTTGTCCTTTATATACCCAGTGAGCAAATCTGATGGGATTCGGTCTGAGGGAAAAAATAGCAATATTTCTCTCTCGACAAACATTATACCAGTTGCCAAGGTATATTAGTTGTGCACCAGAAGAAATCACGTAATGAGTGTGAATTGAGGGTAGTGGGACTCCTCAGGGCTTCAACCAGTCACTTGTATCTTACAATAAAATCAGCATAGGTTATTATTATTATTATTATTTAAAAAAGGTACATCTTTGGTTTGTAATCTATTATTCAGCAAGGCAATTAGCGCTGTGTTATTTCAAGGGTTTTTTTTTTAGCTTCTAAAAAATTGAAGGTATGTGGTTGTATTCATGATTTGCTGCAGTAGGTGTGTATATTTGATAGCTTCAGCAAAATTACACTCACGTTTTTTCTCTTCTAGTTCTAAATTAATGTTGCGTAGATCCTTCCAACAGTTTAAGGGAATTTTAAGGCTAGATGCCTCACATTTTGCCATCTGTATTTCCTTGCGGATCCAAGTTTTGACCACTTCATCTAGCTCAGGGGTAGGTAACCTTGGCTCTTTTATGACTCGTGGACTTCAACTCCCAGAATTCCTGAGCCAGCCATGCATGGCTGGCTCAGGAATTCTGGGAGTTGAAGTCCACGAGTCATAAAAGAGCCAAGGTTGCCTACCCCTGCTCTAGTTCATCCCACGTACCCCCCATACAAGCCATACAATCTGCCTACTGTCTGTAATGTAATTCACTAAAAATGTGTGCATATATAGACCCACATCGATAATATTCCTCTAGGTCAGTGTTTCCCAACCTTGGCTACTTTAAAATGTGTGGACTTCAAATCCCAGGATTCCCCAGCCAGCCTTGGGGGATTCTGGGAATTGAAGCTAGCTGGGGGATTTTAGGAGTTGAAGTCTACACATTTTAAAGTGGCAAAGGTTGGGAAACATTCCTCTGGATATAATTTTCCTTTCATCACATAATGAAAGTGGGGGACACCATGGCTCAGGGGTTAAAGTCGCTGAGCTGGTCAGCTAGAAACCTGGCAGCCCAGGTTCAAGACCTGAGCTCTGCGCAATGTGGTGAGCTCCCGTTTCTTGCTCCAGCTCCTGTCTACCTAGCCGTTTGAAAGCATGCAAATGCGAGTAGATAAATAGGTACCACTTCGGTGGGAAGGTAACAGCACTCCATGCACCTTGGCTTAGTCGTGCTAGCCACATGAGCATAGAAAGGGTCTTCGGACAACACTGGTTCCCTCACCCAAAAAACAGAGATGAGCATCGCCCTCTAGAATTGGACATGATAGGATAGAGGAAACTTTCACCTTCACCGTTTCCTTTGCATAAAAAAAAAACGTTGAGGGAGCAAGGGACAATAATAAGTCTAATTCAGATCACGTCAACTGGGTTTTTTTTCCCCTCCACTTTGAATTATGGCAAGAATATAAGAAATGTATATTGCTATTGTATACCTGGGTGAATACAAATCTGCATTCAATCTGATATGAATCTATAATCTTATGTGTAACTAAGCCTGTGTAACTATTCAGTTATGAAAGGTACATAAGTATATAGAATGAACCAAGGGCCATCCACAATAGCAACAGGCTTTAATGCAATAAATGTATTCGAAAACATTATGATGCAAATATTACTTAATCAGAAACAATTTACCTCTTCATTATCACTGATTACCATGGCAATTAAAATCACCTGTAAACTTAGTGGCATAAGAATAAAAGGAAGAATGAGCTGCCTCACTTACAATTAGTGTTGAATTAATTGTTTTGAAAGGTATATTAACATTCCCTTAACACAGATGAACATAATAGAGTGAGTTTATTATTGGGGATTGACGGCTATCTGGCATGTCAAGGTATTTCGCCTCAGAAAACACATTAGCATCCAAATAGCTAAATCCTAAGCCCATGTCTATTAATATTCAAAATTGTATTATTGTGAATAGCTTCATTGTACTTGGTGCAGCAGAGTTAATTTTATTCTCCTGATTAACAATCCAAGCTAAAGAGACCCAATTGCTGTTAAAACAGATGAATCCATTGGTTTTAACCTCAGTTGACAGATCTAGGTAACTAATACAGCTCTCATATGTAACATGGTTACAGACACTTTATTGGTCATCTAAATTCTTTTGTCCTGCACTGAAACCATCTGGTTTATAACAATCCGATGACTACATGCTTGGACATTCTTTAATTTCATTGATCATGATAATTGATTACAGGAGAAAAAAGTCTTGAAACATTACAAGGACAAATGATGTTTTGATAGGGTGCTAAAACAGGATCTCTGAGGGTAAGGTCACTCTAATCTGGATGGATGAAGAAACCATTGCATCCCACCACCCCAGAGTTATCATGATCTCAGCTATCTTCACAAGATCGGATCTAAGGCACAGTTTGATCTCTTCTGTTGAGTAGCAAGCCATAGAAATAGAAATATTACATACCTTGCTTTGGGCTCTCAGCACGGTGAACTTTTGAACGCTTTTCCCTTACACAAAGTCCTTGAAATAATTGCTGTCTTCCAATAATAAATTCTGTCTCTATTCAACACACCTTTTACTTGATACCTACAGTATTTGTCCCATCTCTGAGGAATGAGTAGCACTCAAGGTACTTTTAAGGAGGAGGGGAGGATGTAGAAAAAATATAAAACATTGCCGCAGATATCAAAGTTGGGGTCAACCCATTAAGAAAGAGAAAACACATTTCATTTAGCAATGCACACGGATAATAAATGAGTTTAGGAGTACAGTAAGAAATGTACCAGATGTGCTTTGAATTAGGTATAGAATTAGGTATAGAAGCAGTAGATTGAGTATTGTCAGTGGAAGGCACCACAGGTAGGTCTCAACTTATGCTCGCAACTGAGCCCAAAATGAAGCGAGACATTTGTTAAGTGAGTTTTGCCCGATTTTATGACTTTTCTTGCTATAGTTGTTAAGTGAATCACAGCAGTTGTTAAATTAGTGACACTGTTGTTAAGTAAATCATTGACTTTGCTTGTCAGGAGGTTGCAAAAGGGGATCACATGACCCCCGGATGTGTCCTAAATATCAGTCAGTTGCCAATTTTGATCTCGTGCGACGGTTGTAAATGAAAAAAATGGTCATAAGTTACTCTTTTCAGTGCTGTTGTAACTTCGAATGGTCTCTAAATGAATTGTTATAAGTCAAGGGCTATCTGTAATTCCACAGATTTTCTGGCACAAATAAGTCTACTGAAAGTTACGTCCCCTAATGCAGAGGTCTCCAACCTTTTTGGTTTGGCGGCCCGGAAAGGGAGGCAGGCACCGCTATGTGCATGCGCACAAATGGGGCGTGCAAATCTTCTAATTAAAGAGTCTTCTTTGACGATGCACCACATAATACTAAACAATGAGTTATGTAGAACATAGAACCTAGAATAGTAGAGTTGGAAGGAACCTTGGAGGTCTTCTAGTCCAACCCCCTGT